TTTTTTTTTTTTTTTTTATGTTTTAGGAGACATCAGCATAGCCAGCTCACTAAAGCTACGTGGAGGGAGCATTACAACACCAGTTGCAGTAATACACTTCTACCGTTGAGCATAAGGTTGCTTGCCGAAACCTAGGGGTTTAGGCAAGATGGCGTTTCGCCGAAAAGCGAAATTCTGCCAAAACTATATTAAAGTTATATTAAAAAACTGGTGAAACTTTGGAGAAAGGCGAAACTGCCGAAACTTATTATAAATGCCGAAACTGCCGAAACTCTACCAAAACTATAATAAATCTATAGTAAAATTTTGACGAAACTAATCGTAAGATTTTGAAGAGATTTAGACAAGCAACCTTAGTTGAGCAACAGATAACCAAGCAACCTACTCTAATTATTTAGAAGTAACCGGATGTTCATCCCCCCTACCCTTATATACCACACTGGGAAGACAACCCAAGTTTATACCCACATAAGAATGGGTCGTAATGTAGCAGGGTTTTTGACACAGTTATGCTACCCACTAGCGCCTGTCAAAAATGAGCAACCATCCACATACGGCAAATATAACGGAGCAGACATCTAGAAGTCCTCCCATGATGGTTACCTTAGAGGTACTGCAATACTAAGTTTACTAATATGGCCTCACTCAAAGCCCACTACAGACCACGATTACCATACCAGTCCATCATAGTTAGTGCTCCTAACAGATCGGTTCAGACTGGATTCAGCTTAAATCTGATCCGATCTGATTTTTATTTTAATAGATCTGATCTGATCCGAATCTGATCAGATCTGGTTCAATTTGATCCAAATCTAGTTCGGATCCATTTGAATCCGATTTGAATCTGATCCGAATCTAGTTCGGATCTGGTCCTTATCCTAAAAAAGGAAGGAAACGTTAATTACGTTCCCTTAAGTAAAAATAAAAAAAAACAAAAAAAAGAAACGAACTTACCATAGTTCGTTCTTTTTTTTGAATCCTGGTCGTTCAGCTTCGTCTCACGTCCAGGTTTCCTAAAAAAAAAGAAAGGGAACGTTAATTAGTATGTTTCCTTAAGTAAAAATAAAAAAAAAAACAAAAAAAAGAAATGAACTTACCATAGTTCGTTCTCTTAAATCCTGGTCGTTCCTTCGTCTCACGTCCAAGTTTCCTAAAAAAAAAAGAAAGGGAACGTTAATTACGTTCCCTTAAGTAAAAAAAAAAAAAAA